TTATACCTGCACTTTTTAATTCATAATTTTATTCTTTCTCTTAATCTTTTTCAACCATATTTTATTAAATGTTATAATCATCATTGATTAAAAGACTCCTGATTAACTCTAAACGTCTGCTTGTATTTTCATTTGATGATGGATTTATACTGCATCTGTTATAAGTTAAAACTAGAATAATTTTAAAACGAAAATTTATTCTTTAATATTTTTGGCTTAAGAGTGTTCCCAGTTTTCTGGACTAAGTTTCTTATTTACTCACATATGTCCCTCTACTCCTTATATTCTTACTATGCTGGATAAATAAGGGTGTACTACAAATTGTTTGAGTCCAAGATTGCTTAAACTAATTTCTACTCCATAAGCAGAAAACATGCCCTGAATCATATTAAGCTGATGATCTTAGAAATCTCTTTTAGAAAGAATTGTTAAAAAAGTAAATTCCTAACGTAATATTGTTACCCTCTAATCTAAATTTGTACTTAAACATTATTACTTCATTTGAATTTTAATAATCTATTATTGAAGAGATATCAAGCCCTCGCTCTAGACCAGATGAGTATTAGTTAGAGTTCTTGGGAGTAGATCTGCTGGAGTCAAGGCCAGAATCTTGGTTAAGGTGATTAATTCTTTTTCATTATAAAATTATATATAATAATCACAAACTGACTATTCACAATCATTTTTCAATGACACGTCAATCATGTGTTGTTAGACCGAAATAGCTAAGCGACTATGTATAAAACTCATATAATTTTATAAGAAATAAAAAAAAATATAATTGAGGATCCTAAATAAAATCTTTTTTCCATTATGATAATGTTCATCATGATTGGATCCTATATTAACATTTGAGTTTGGATTGATACCAACATACAAGGATCAACTATAAGTTTAAATAAAATATATTCATGATTGGAGCAGAAATTTTATATAGCGCCTAAGAATAAAATACCTTTCAAGAAAATAGAGTACTTGAGATGAGATATAATCTCTTAAAAGAAGCAATCGTATTCCATAAAAATTTATACCAGCTAATAAATGAAAGTATGATTTTATTCTTAAAATCTAAGAAAAATGAAATATTGGGCTTTTGAGACTAATAAAGATTTAAGGGAATAAATGATAATGATCATTAATATTATGCTTAATTGAGAATCTTTTCCTTAACTTGAACAGTTGAATATTAATGATACATTTGTGAATCTATCATTATACTTCTATAGTTCAAATCTTCCTTACTCCTTTGAGATTTCAATCTAAATTTTTTACTTTTACTTAACTATTAGTAAGTATCTCTTGTATTTTCTCAATTCACTTTTCTCGAAAACCAAAATGATAGTTCAGAAGATGAGAACAAGTCATTACTTCAAAAAGTTTACTTTTTCACCATAAATATCCTAAATACTGAATAATATCCATAAGGTATAAATCTCCTTGTTTCCAATTATTCTCTTTTCACATTTATTTTAATCTTCTTTTTCTTGTTGGCACTAATTTCCTTTAAAAATGAAACTCACCATTCTCCTCCTCATATTCTTTCTTCTCTAATTAAATTCGAAATAAATGAATTCATTTCCTCTAGTTAATTACCTAATTTCTATTCAGGCACAATAGATTCAAATTAAAAGAAAAGAATTTCTTCTGAACAAACCTTCTCCAGAAATCCATGTTTTTAATTTAAAAAATGGCTCTCAACATTCAATAGTAACTTGTATTCTCAAAAAGCCAATTTCCTAAAGAATCAAACAAACTCTAACCATCCAATAATATTATCAATAATTCTGATGGCTAAAGCTCTACACCCTTACTTTTAGTATGAATTTCAAAATTACAAAGCATAATGAAAGGGAAAATAGAAAATCCATAGCCTAGTAATTAAAGTTACAAGATATAAAAAACAAATTTGCTTTGTTAAAGGCTTTAACATAACTGATATTGGAACCTCTTCAATCTATTCAGTAATACCTCCTCCTATATAGACGTTAAATCCAAAGTATTTGTACGAAATACCTGTCAACATCCAATGCTGCAATTTTAAAGTTAGAAGAACAAGTATCATAATTGTATCAATTTAGCAGGAAATCTAAGCATTTACCTTCTTGACTTTTATATAAAAATAAAGTTTAACATGAGTTGTACTTATTATAGATATGGAAAAATATAGGATTCTTCTTAATACCTATGTTTTTAGAAAAATAACTTACGAGCAATACATGCTTTTGGCAATTCGCTTCCAAAACCCATCAAAATAAAAATATTTAAGGGCTCCTTCAATGCGGTAGAAAAGCATCATTTTAACAGCATGATCAAGTGGTTTTAGATTTTAATCGAGCTCAGGCTTATAGTGAAAATCTAAAGAGCATTTTCATTTAGGGGAATCAGTTTTGAGACAAAATATTGATTTAATTTCTTTCATCCATAGGAAGTTAAATTTATTTCTTAATTTTCATCGAATTGTACTTTATTTTCAATGTTATTGTTGCAATCCAAAGAAAATCGCTTTATTTTACAATTGAATATTCTGAACTTCTCTTTTTTATGACTTATTCAATTCATTTTGACTTAATTCCTGTCCATCCTTCTATAATTTGTCAAGTGGTTAGCATCTTCCAAGGTCCATTTGATAAATTATTTTTCGGATAATCTAAAATAAGGGTATTGATTTACTATGGCAGAGTGTTTATTTTAGCTTTGACTGTGTTATCAAATGGTATTGGCAAAAGCTGTGGGCTAAAATTCTTTCACAAAAGTATTCAATTCATTCCTGAATAAATATTATAATTGATTATGGACAGATAAACTTAAAATCAAATATTCCCTAAAGATAAAAATTTGTTTCTGTAAGATTAAATTTTATATTTAAATATTTAAATTTATCAATCACAGCTCAAATGGATGAGTTGTTTGAAAGATAGAATTTAATTTGATATTTTTATGGTACTCAAAATAATAGAAATGTGGTAAGATGTAATAATCTTCAACATCTTAATAGTTTTTGAGCTTTGAGGAAAATTATTCACACTTTCATGCTTATTTGAGGAATTATATATTTGATCAATTCAGGGACATTGGCTACATATATATTATCTTTAGTATACTCACTAATCCAAATAAGTATAGTATAGAATAGTGGAAGTATTTAAAAATGCTATTAAAACGACAAAAGTGTTTATGGAGAGTTCAAGTGAACTAACTTGATTGTCTACTAATTCTAAATATTGAGATCTATTTCAAATAAATCAAATTTGCTCAATATATCCTATCCATTTAATTGCATTTGTCTAAGTTTTGGTTTCTAATTGATTTCATTTTTTGGTCCCTATTGGTATCTTTTAAATAATTTCTTATTTACAACTTCTACATCACTTATCTGTTGATTATATAATCTTTTCAGAGCTTTTTTATTTAAAGTATTTATAATAATTTAACAAGTATAAATAATATAATACTATGTCATCATTCTAACAGAATGTAATTTTGGATAATTTCTTAAGTTAACAGGCAATTTTTTACACTGAATTAGACTCCTTCATTCATTTACAATTCTAATCTTAATAAAGCCTGTCTAGTCGTTATAAATTATATAAAAATTATAATCACAGTCTTTTTATTAAGATTAATTTAACATAAGGGCTAGCAATACTACTATTATTATATTGGCTGGAAAATTCGATCATTTTCTTAAGCTAGTATTTGAAACTTTCATTTATTATTTAAACTTAAGTTAAAATTAAGGAGATAATACAATGCGCATTATAAAAGTGTTTGAAGCTTCTCTAACTTTCATCTCTAACAAACTTCATATTTATGTATTGAGGGACTAATGCCATCATATTCTATAATTTATGAATTCTCTATCTTTTAATAAAGTACTTTTTACAACTGAACTGAATTTTTGAATTAGACTTCTCTAAGTATATGATTAATTTCCCTAATCAAAGAATGCTACTTATGTAAAAGCTATGTATGGGGAGATTAATAACTTTTAAGATAATCTAATTACTATTGAAGGTCAAACAATCCTTTTTAAATTATATTATCATAAATGATTTGTCTATGAGCATTCAATTTTAAACAAATCGATTCTAAACAAATTAAGATAATTTCAATTAGATTAATAAGTAAATAATAAGAATTTCTTCTTATGAATTTGCAATTATAACTTTCACCTTTGATTCATAAATAAAATTAAACCAAATTCATTATTTTCTCTTTAATAGAGATTTATCACTATCGGAATAGGTTTTCTTTTAATATTTCAAGCCACGGTAATAATCATGAAGTTATAAAAATTCAAACTTTGCTTACTATAAACAATTTTCAAAATTAATGGATTGTTGTTTCTTGTTTCCTACAACCATTGCGAAAGCTGCTCATACATCTTCATTTTTAGTGAATATATTAATAATCCTATTTTTCTCCTCTACTCCGAACGCTAAATATCTATTTCTATCTTTGTGATTTAATATAGCAAAACTCTCTAAATTTGATTTAAATTGCTTCAAAATGGTTGTTTTTATAAATAATAATAAATATTATATTAGTTTAATTTATTTGAGGGGTATTAGTAAATTTGAATAGAAGTAGATAAAGTGAAAAGTAAAATGTTAATAATAATTATAAAAATGAATAGTCAATAGATTGTTGCTTATAGAAGGATGCATTCAATGCAATTTTGGAACAGTATTTATATATCCTTTAATCTTATGGAATTCAGAATACCAATTTAATTTCAAAAATAATTCATTTTTTTGAATTAAATTCGTTGTTATTATCCATTTTAACTAAATCTAAAATTCATTATCGCTAGTTTGATAAGTTTGAGAAAACTTTATTTTTATTCAAAAATTTTCATCTATAGCTTAAACCATCAAAATGGATCTAATTTATTTTTGAAATAATATTTTTCATTGTCACAATAATTTTCTCTGATTCATATTTATTATTCTAAGAATTTGATTATACGAACTCCCTATTCAAAAGTTGCTTATAATTATTTGATAAATTTATGTGAATTCTAACTAAATTCAATTTAGCCTTTTTAACTGATTCTTATCCTGCCTCTGATGTTAACTTTTCGAAAAAAATAAATAATAGTAATTATGATGATTTTATTACTACTTGAAATAGAAATAATGGTTATCTTCCTTTGAGATCTAATATCATTATTCTTATATATGAAAATATAAATTTAAAGAAAGCACCAAAATAGATTAGTATTTTATTTCACTTTAGATTAATTAGAAAGTTACATAATCACACATACCATACAAATTTCAAGGATTTTAGAATGGATTTTATTGTAATTAGTTTTGATTATATTACCGATTTTTCATAAAATTTCTTCTCATAAACTTTTCAATTCCAACCCATAAACAAATATGAATAATCCTTATATTTGTTCAGTATTCTTAAGAAACTAAATTTATAATAGGCTTGAGACAAACCAAGTATTCTTTTTGATGAATCAAATTTAGAAGAAATAATTTGATCTCCTTAAACTTTTATCACTCAGGGTATTAAAATTTTGTTAATTGTAAATATCTGATTAAATATAGAATCATTTTTTTCTCAAATTAGTTTCACTTTTAAAACATAATTTCCTTTAAAATAAATCAAATTAGATTGAATTGATAATCCTCAATATTTTCTTAATTTCATATCAATAAGTATTTAGATACTGAAATATTCAAATATAAAGTCAATCTAAGATTCTGATATAGACTTAAATCCAATGTGTTTGATTTCATAATTAAATACTTTACCACCAAATATAAGATTCTAAAAAAGTTAATTTAATTACGAAATGGAACTTGATATGATGATTAGCTGATGAAACTAGTTAAATCCACTTGGTATATGTTAATCAATATATTATTATAAAAGGGCAAATTGGTCCAGGAAAATTGTGTAATCTGTGATGGTGAATGAAAGAAGATTTTATATATTCAAAAGAAATCTAATTCGCTAAAAATGAAGGTATTTTACTAATGATTTTTAAGATAGCAAAAGATTTAAATCATAAACAGATGAATCTATATACCAAATAATTAGGAATAGAAAACAACTTATTACAATTAATCACTTGAATAATTTGGAAGAGGAAATAAATTTTGTATTTAGAATATTTTGATAACGCTGCTTTGCACAAATTGGAACTTATAATTAGACTGATGAACAAATATATGGAGATGAGAAGATAAAGCTGTTATTATAAATATAAAAAACTATCATTTTAATAGACTATACCTAAAATTTTGGATCTTTGTTATTTATATTAAAATTTAAGATCATAAAATAATATTTTTATCCAATCATTAAAATAAAATGCAAGTAGAGGAAATACCAAAATAGCCTGGTGACATGTGCTATTAAGGAGTAATATTAAAAATTACATTCGTTCTAGACTTATAAAAATGACAAAAGAATGCATTAAGAAGAAAAAACAGGGTATAGTAAACTATTTAAGATTTATTTTTTTGAACTTAATTGTATTGCACTTCTCAAATGCAGTTTGAGATATTAAACAAAATTTCTCTTAAAGTTGCTCTTGAATAAGTAATTCATGCACAATCTTTTCCACTTCCACTCTAACTCATTTCTTCAATAATTTACAGCAATAATATAAAGTTCTTCAGGTGATTCTTCATTCAATAAATATCTATACATTGATTATAAAGTTTTTATATTATATTTCTGCACATTACTCTTCTATATAAATAAAGGTTTATCGAAATACCTTGACATATTTAGATTTTTTTTGTATTCTCGTCGTTTCTAATTTCCATTAGTCATATACATTTAGTAAATGATATGATGTGATATAGTTTGACTCATTTTGCTAGTCTCAAATTACAAATCAATTACCGTAACTCTTTTGAATTATTTTTTATTTTGGTACTTCTATTTATTGCTTAAATCACTAGTGGTTGTATTATACATCTTCAAAGAATTTTTTTGAAATATTTCTTGATTTAGTTAACATTAAAATTTTTGATAAATATTCACATTTTGTTTTTATTTAAAATTTTCATTTGGCTTCTTTCATATAGGATCTGATAACCATTTCACATTTCCATTAGTTTTCATCTTGAAAATTCATGTACAATAAAAGTTTCTTAATTATGGAGGATATGCATTTTAAAAACAAGTCTCTGCATTTCCATCAATACAAAAGTCATCTAAATGAACGGAAAGGAATAGGAACTTCGCAAGCATAATAGAACCAAGTGATTGAATATTTCTTATAATTATAGGAAATAGAATTCAATTTCATAATTAGGAGAATCAATAATTACTAAAAAATCTATAAGTCTTGAATGAATATTGGTCATAAGTGAGTTCTAATTTAAATAGGTGTCCAATTTCTTTTATTTAACAAAATAACACTAGACATCTTTTTCTTAGAAGCTAAATGGCTTACTACTCCTCACCAAAATACATATTTATGTTTAAGAGATTCCTAATAATTAAAAAAACTCATTTACTCAAAAATTTAGAGTTCGAGAAGAAGAGAGAAGCCTCTAGATGAGTTTTCGACATCATCCTATTTAGGCACTGAAAATTTCTCAAAAAAAAATGTAGATGGTCAGTATATATCGGATTTCGTAGTAAGTGTTATTTAGTCAGCAATATAGAGTTTAATAAAGTGCTATAGGTTTTCCAAGCACCTAGAAGACGAAGCATTCCAATACTTCCCTATTCTTTCAAACCTCCATAAAATACACTTATTTTAATCGAGAACTAATTTCATTTAGAATATATAAATTAGGTGAATTTGACTTGACCATGCATTGTTTTTATGTAACTTAGAGTGTTCTACATGAACAAATTAAAAAAAAATAGATGAAATATATTAAGTTATACCCAATTATGCTTTCATATTATTGTAATAAATTTAGAATTAAATATTCATTAATAATTATAATGTGTTTATTTTCCCCTACTTTAGTTCAAATACTTTAATTTAATTGCTATAATCTGAAACTACTATTGAGTTATTTTTATTAATAATTATAGGTTCTAATTTTTTGAGATTTTAGCCATGTCAGGCAAGAAAATATTACAATTAGGCCTTAATACGGGCATTTACTATCTATGCAAACTCAGATTATCTATTGATTTTTGTGATCAGATTAGGTACATGTATCTCCATTTTTTCGTCTATTACATTGAAAATTTAATCATTAAAAATCTCATCTTTAACATACCTCTAAAATAACATGTTTTTTTCTAATCTAGCCTGAATAAGTTGTTTTTAAATTCTCAAAACCTCACACAATATTTGTAGTATTAGTTATTACTGCCAAGTAATTACATATTTGATAAGTAATTTATAAAATATCATAAATTAAGAATGTTGTTCTAAGATCAATTTTAAAAAATATAATATAAAAAATTACACTATAATCGGTTAATTAATAGAATTTGAAATTTTGGGTTTTAATGATGAGGATTTCGTAAAAAATTAATAATTTGAGAAACAGAAAGTAATAGAAAATGAAAAAAATCCCCTGCTTTAAACACGAAGATCAATTTCTATTTTATATCAAATTAGGATAAAACTAGACAGAATTAATTTGTTAAGAGTGTGCTTAGGAGCTTAAATATGGTCCCGTAGATACGAGTCAATAAAATTTAATTCATTTAAATAAAGTATCATTTCATAATTTACTTTTGAAAGGTTTTAGACTCTCCTGAACATTTGCTATCAAAGTTGAATTTAAAGCCTTCCCTCAAAGAATTTTTTACTTATATTGATAAATTTAATGAAAAAACAATACCAAAAATATTTTTGGATTTTAAAATAAAAATAACAAAACTCTAAAATACTATGTAGGACCTTTAAAAAGAAGTTGAAGAAAATCTAGCATTATTTTTAAATATGAAGTAAAAAATTAGGAATGAATTGCTAAATATCAATAATAAGATCATTAATTTTGATTAATTTAAATAATTAATAGGAAACATTGAATAAATTGGAGATTCAATCAATAATTAAACAATTGAGTAGAATGAAAGGGGTCTCCATTAATACATATTAGATCTTAATAAAAATAATTGTAAAGAATTGAATATAGTTTTGCTTAATATATTAAATGGAATAAAACGAGAGACGAAGAATTTAAATGAAGAATAATGTATATAATCTGTAAAGTTCAATGAATAATTTAAAACGATAGATCATTGCAAATCAGAACTTATGGATCTTTCTTAACTTCTATATTTTGAAGAGCAAATATTGTCTGACTATTATAAGTTAAAAATAATTAACAAAATTGAATCAACATAGAATAAAAGAATATGTTGTTTTAAACCAATATTTTTAAGTAATAGGGATGGATTGAGCGGGTATAACTTTAGGAGCAAAGTAAAAGGCAAATCAAATTTGTTAATGATATTTAAATCTAAAAGTGGATATATTTTTGGCGGGTATACGCCTTGTAAATGGAATTATAATTTGAATTCTTATGTTTAAGACGACACACTGTCATCTTTCTTGTTTTCTTAGACTCATGATGAAATATATCCCGTAAAGAGAGACCAATAAGCATATGCCATTCACTGCAACTAAACATATGGACCTATATTTGGTGCTGGCCATGATTTGTGCATCGGATCAGACTTTTAAAGTGGATCATCAAACTTTGGACATTCTTATTGGTGTGAAGATTAATATGTTGCAAAAAATACACATTTATTTGGGTAATCAACTCCTAACGTAGAAGAATGTGAGATATTTGAAGTATTATTTATATGAATATATAAAAAATATAATATATAGCAAACTTAGTATTATAACTTATTGTGTTTGGCTTAATAAAACTTTGTAATCATGTTTGTTTCTCTTATTTATTATGCAATTTTTAAATTAAAATAAAACTCTCTAAGTATATTCATGATTTAAATCATTTTCATTAAATTCTATATATTGTTATTTAAAATCAAACTATAAAGAATTTGAGGATTGGTTAACAAAAAAAAAATATTAATAAAATCAACAAACTTAAGTTTTCATTCTTTTGTTCTCAAACATTAAATCTTCCATTGTTTGATTTTGTTTAGGAAGCATATTAGCACTAGGTCACACATATCATCTTCTACATCAATAATTTCCTTAGGCATTGGGAAGTTGAAATATATTTTATTGTCATCATCAATGTTGAGATTGAGTACTATCATAAAGGTTTTTTCGCGTTTCTTTGAACTGTATCTTTATTGGACATAGAACTTATATAATCAGATGTTTCGTAAAATAAATATAAATTTGACATTTAATTCTCATGCTGTCTGAATTAAGTGTTTGTTAGTAATAAAAGGATTTGATATTATTACAAAAAAGTCTTGTACCATTGTTACAAATCCTGAAGTAATTGCTAAGCATCAGGCTAATTGTTAATATTGGCAGTCATTTTTGGCAGAATATAATCATTCCACCTAATTTCATATATTTATTCAACAATTGATCTTAAGGTCTTATTAAATTTTGAAATATTGTTTCCTAAAACCTACTTCCTTCCCTCCTTAAGTCTCATTCATTGTAGATGTCATAGAAAACGCAATCATACTCTATTATGGCTTACAACTAGTTCATTATTCCCTTTGACTTTAGATCTCCATCTCTAATAGATTACCATAAAGTAGCTGTGCGCTACAGTTTTGCTCTCTCATATTTTTCTATGCACACATATGTAAAATCAGGCGATATCAATACATCATCTTACCAAGGAATTGATTTAATTATTTATCATATTCTTCTTATTTTTTCAATCTAGGTAATTTTGAACTTATTCAACAACTTTATAATTTCTAAATATCAACTTTGAACCCAAATATCTTTTAAAAAAGTCCAAATTAATTACACATCACATGATTTTCCTCTTCTTCATCTCCCTCGGTACTTGCTCATGATTATTCTCCCCCAGAATTTATTTATCTTATGATATCTAAAAATTTATAGTATTGAGTTAGCTTATATTTTGAGTGAAATGTATTTCTCTTAATTAAGTTGTTGAATTAGAATTAAATTAGATCTTACTTTGCTAAAAATGTTCACATATAGCGATGAATTATCAGCATCAATAATTTTGAATTGAAGTTTTCACGAATCTTCACGAATCATTTGATAAGACATAAAAGTTTTCTTACTCGAACTGGCTAAATCTGATATTTACTCTTGATTTTGTCTCAACATCCATTTAATCAATCGATCAGGTTTAAGCTTCCTTCAAAATATCTGATCCACCGTTATGTACACATAATAATGCCATTAAAACTTAAGTAAATTAAGTAATTAGCTCATTAGCATGTCTCCTTTTATTTTTCTTTTTAATTTATTCCAAGAATAGAACTCAAGCACAAAGAAGGATCTTTAACTAAAACTATATAATAAGAATGCAGAAATTGCATCATTCTATTAGTTAAAAGCTTGTCAGTAACACATTAACTACTTCCTTTTCCTATATCATCATCATATCCATAAAAGATTAAGTTCATTGCTGAAAATTTTAATGCAATTTTAAAATATATCAATAATTATATATACAGAATTACCTATTTTGCATGTCTATAGACAGCTCTCTGCTCCTCTCCCAGTTTCAGTGTGTGTCATAGTGCAAGGATCTTTCAAATCCTATTATAAGTACAAATGAATCTAGTATTTCTGATTAAATTGATCTCTAAGATTTTATTCAATTAAAATAATCTTAGAGATATTTACTATTAGGAAGATTATTTAAAAATTTTTGCGATACAAGTTTTCTCCTTAAATAAATTTAGAAACGCCTTGGAGCCATTATGAAATCAACTTTTTCTCACCTCGATCATTTCCTTAATTATCTTTTCTGTGTTATATCATTTATTAGTTTATAATAAATCTTTGAATAATTACAATAATTCATTGTACGTGAGTGTTTCCAACTTAAAGATTCTTTCTAAAAATGCTCCACATCTTCATATGTAATTCCTCAATTATAAGAGCTAGATTAGATAAACTATAGAATTTCCTTATATATTAACATAAAAATAGAGAATAACTAATTTTTTATGGAAATTCCAAATGACCAGAAAAGATACTTTCAGGCAAGCAACAATGATGTGTAAATAATTGTAAAACCTCTTTAAAAACATAGAGTATTTCAAATGTAAGGTTAATTCTGTTTTGTAAAAAATCTAAAATGAATTGTCAAAATAAATTACACTTAAATCACAAAAATTATCTTTATCTGAAAAATTGTTTAACTTAGACGAATTTTGGGAGGATGTTAAATTATTATAAGAACTTATTTCGAAATCAGAAGATTATATAGAATTTCAATATATAATTCAGATGTAGAGATATTTTTAGCTGATATAGACTATCTGTAAACTATTGAAGCTTTTAATAATGCTAAAAAAATAATAACTAACTTCAATATAGAGAATTAAATTCAATTCGAACAACCAAAACTAGAAAATAATATAAGTATATTTTATACATATTGAGAAAACACTTTAGTTTAAGTACGCTTTGTAAAAATCATTAAAGGGAATAATTCTGATTGCCATAGATTCGGAGAATATATATACAAAAAAAAGATTTGCTTGCGTTCGATGCAAAACATAATAAGTCTCTTAAAAATTAAAAATTTTTGAAAAAATAGATGAGTTATGGAATAAACAAAAGCAAAAGGTACATTATAAATTTTACAGGAGAAATCCAGCAATTTTAAAGATCTCTTATCTAATATAGATCCAAATATATAAATATAATTTTAACTCGACCAATTAAATAAGGCGATTATAATAACTTTAATAATAGATTTTTGTAGTTAAAACACAAGATTATTGAAAATTTTAATATAAGCAAAGATCTTAATTAGGTACATAAATTAGATTTACCAAATCTCCCCCTTTTGTGTAGTTTACATACTGGAAGATCTATGGTGAAGTTCTGGTTATTAACATCAAACCTAAATTTATTTATAAAAGAATGTTCTAGAAGGATACATTTAGTTGAAAAGGAAATTGAATCTGCAGAATCTATAAAAATTACTATATGCTGAGCGCGATGGCTTCCAAGTTTTTAATGAACTTCTCCTTCTTGCGGCACCTTTCTTGTGAATCATGGGTTAAATTAAATGTTATGCTTTACAGTATCTGTTTAGCAAAACTCGTTAGTTCTTTCAGGTTTAAAGGAGGATATTTTACTGAAAATGAAACACGAAAGATTCATTAAATTATAAAATATTAAAATAGTAGATAATTCAACTGAATAGTGAAATAAACATTGATTTTTTAGCTTAATTTATTGAATTTGTATTTATCATTTAATTTAATTTACATTTTTTTAATGTTTTCTCAACACTTAAATCTTAATTTTGAATATTTTCTCCATCTTGTTTCCATTTCTAGAATATTTGAATTATGGCTTTGGAAAAAACAATTTTTTTCGTATAGTTTTAGCAAGTTTGACGATATATAGTATTGGAATTATTACTAAAAATCAACTTCAAATGAAGTTATTCAAAAATTTTCAAATAAAAAAAGTCTGCCCGATAGGAAAGATTGTTCTACTATTCAAGCCCTAGGTAAAATTACCTTCTATTTACATATCCTTACTCATTAAATATAGAGATATTTGGCTGTCTAATTTATTTAGAATTAATTACAGTACAAATTTAATTCATGAAATATATAAATTTGGTCTTACTTCTTTTGAGAATCTAAAAAATTGAACATTCTACACATTAAGAAGTATTTATTATAATATTAATATTATATTTTTTTAATTATATCATGTCTCACGACTATATCCCAAAAAACCTTAGAGAAGACCTTTATTGGGCTAATAAATCTAGTGCATCGCTTGATGAGGAGTACCTTGGAATGTTGAAATCTCAAGACTAAACGGCTGATAAAGTAAAAATGATCAAGGAAAATGGTCGATTGTCGGCTCGAAAAGAAGGCATAGTACAGACGCAAAGAATATTTAGAGGAAATTTGAAATCGAATAAGAGAAGAGGAATTGAGATGTTTAGTACAAAATCTAAATCTCTTGGCTTTATGTTCTTTCTCACATTGAACCTATAGCTTCTAAATAGCCTTCTCTCGTCTTCTCATATTTTTCTAATGCTATTGAGTCGTTGCTTTAAAAGTCTCTCTGTATACTTTCATATTGGTTTGAGATAAAGTGTCAGATAGTTCACATAAGTCCCTCCTTTTAAAGGCTAATGAAATGTAGTAAGGTCATTCCTCAGCCTCCTATATCTCTTCTGCTCGTCTGTAACTCTTTCTTCTTTGAGTATTTCTTTTCCTTTGACTTGACTTCTGCCCTACATTTCTCATTTGATGACTACTCTTAATAATGGATTATCAGTTTGTGGAATTAATGTTGACTTTTAACTGAGTCCAAGCCTAAAATGATAATCTCTTTCTCATCTCCTCCTTTTGTGCGAGTTGTTTGAAATATTCCTAAGTTAATTCCTCATCTATTCATATAAGATGGAAGATGTTCATGTCATCTATCAGAAAGGGACTTGTCCTATTAGACACCTAATAATTGATCATGATCGGGTGACTAATCGAAAAACAATTTCGTCTATTTATTATCGAGGCAATAAGTTAATATCCTCATGTAGAGGAGTTGTTCCATGCATTCTAGAAATCCCCAATGAATAATATTTTAAGTTGAGATCATTCGTGTTCCCTCCTTCCATAAGCCTCATGATAAGATTCTGTATGGCAAAAGTGCCTTCTTATTTCTCTTTATGGGGCGATGTAGAATGTATAGAACACTATTGGTGGTCGACTATGTTGGCCCTCTAAATTTGAAGTAGCTGATGAATTCAAATGTTATGATTTAGTTGATAAATCATAATTTCTCTTTCAGCTTTTAACCATTCTGAATTCTATTTAATTAAAATTTGTTCTCTATAAAAATATAAAATTAATTTATTATATTTTCCCATTATTTTAAGGAATAAAGAATTTTTTAAATCAATAGCTATGTTATTATATAGGTTATTTCTAAGATACCAGTTATGCCGATACACAACTTTTTCAAAAATGAAACTATTTCCTTTACGCCTCACTAGATATTCAAATATCAATCGTTAACAGCTTCCATTAGTGGTGAACTAGTTCTGGATTTTCTTATTTATTATTAAACAAAATACATGTTGATATTGGAAATAAGATCAAGATAAACTGCTTTATACTATTCCGGCATGAACTTGTATTTATAAAATATTCAGGAATATCTTTTCAATGAAGCTTAATATTTTGGTCTATTACAACTATTAAGAAGTCAATTTAATAATGTATTTGATAAACAGCCTTTATTTTGAGTTAAAAGACTGAAGGTTTGGGAGATTCGGAATTAAAATAGAAAGAGAGGAACCATTGACTTTAGAAAATGGCAACAATGAAAAACAAAGTGTAAATGAACCTTCAAATAATTTGAAACTTTTGAGTAAGATAAGATATTCATATGATATAAAAATAATTTAATATATATATTCTTCTACATTTTGATCTCAATGCCCTTTATGATATTGTATTTTGTATATTAAATTTTAATGGCATATCAATTTATTAATTCATTTAAGGACTTGTAAGGGATATCTGTAATAATATAAGAATCAACTGATATCTTCAATTAAAACTTAAATTAACTAGAAGCTAGTTTAGATTAAGCCATTTTATTTCTTTAACAATGAATGAAACTGAAGGATAAATATATATAATGATGTTTATAAAAAATGATGCTTATTTCATTTAGAAACTACTCGAAATTAATCTCCCAGTAATCTTCAATTAATTACTTTAAATAGGAAAACTTTCTTAATTTAAGTTCTTCAACTTTTCAGAAATCAAATTAATATAGTTGTTTAATAATTTGCTAATTTTTATAATAATGATTTCCGTATCAAAGTCAGCTTTAAATTAGAGACTTAAGACTTACTTAAATTTTAATACAAATTATTGCTGAAAGTTACATTAAACTAGGAGGCTATTTAATTATTATTTTTTGATAGAATTTTAATGGTGAATATGATAATTTGGTAGGATTGACTTCAGGGAGTTTGGCTGAACGTATAGGGGAAAATTCTTAAAATAATTGCCACTTTAAATGATTTGAGAGTCCTTAAACCTGATGGGAAGGAATATAATATATATTCAAGCAACATGAAGTCATTTTTGTCTAATTATTCACTTTGTTTCAAGGTCATAGAGAACTTATTATTTCAAAAAGAGGTATTCAGCCTCTTTTAAATTAGCTCATAACTAAATATATCCTATGAAAGGCCTTTTTTCCATGTTGTTTTAAAAACATAAGGTTCTGTTTAAATATATTATCTCCTATTTATGATAATCAAATAAACGATCTAATTTATTCTGATACCTGATAATTTTTCATAATAATTTAATTAGTGGTTGAACAAGCCAAATTGATAACTATTGATAACATTAAATATTGAGTTATTAATTCTTCAAACTAATTTGTAGAATCCTGAAATTTGAAATGAGTTTCCTTTCAAAATCCTGTGATTATACTCAACAAAATTAATAAATAATATTATATAGTTATTATTTCTTATTTAGAATGAACGGATTAAATCTTATTATTTTTATTACAGATGAAAAAGTAGCTCTTTATTTGCCAAAAGCAAATATTAGGACTTTGCCTCAATAAGAATTGCTATAAAGAAACTTAATATTACTCTAAATGCTTAACTTAGGTTCATTCAGATCATTTAAGTGATTGTATTGAATTTGCCATAATATTGGCAAATATCAATCAATTCTTAGAATTTGGGATGAATCATTTTAATAAATCAAAAAAATCTTCAATTATATGAGAAAATATTAGAAAGTATGAAACTAAATCTTGAGCATGAATTATATCTGCCTTTTATATCATAACTCAGACTATTTAAACAATATTATTCAAGAGAAAAAGAGAAAACGATATGTATTAATTTGAGAAATTTCTTTAGAAAAATAACTAATAGAACTCAATAAAGTTCTAAATACCATGGAATATAGAGTAGGAGGTCAGGGCGAGAATTGAAGCAAAAATAGATTTCTTAATAGGTAATTTTAAAGATTAAGTAAAATAGGCAGAATATTAGTTGATGAAGGAAATATTAAAGTTGCTTTGGAATTTTTTGATGAATCAATTCAAAAATTTGATTAAGATGATAATGTTTATTAATGGAAGGGTAGTAT